CATTAATTTTACAGTTTTTTTTATTAAGCAGACTCAGCTTTTGTCAGCCTCTACAATCCTTGGTTTTTTTCTGTCCTTTCTCAGTGCAAAACAAAGGTAAAGCACAGTTTTTTGTGCTTTACCTAAAGTTAATACCTGACTGGAAAAAACGAAAAAAAAAAATACAAAAACTCAACTTTCAGACAAACCTTTCGAAAGGCTTCTAATTTACCCGTATTTTGTTTGATGTTTCCACAATCAATGTTTGAGTCTGTCTTTGTTTCGACACTTGTCAAAATTTTCTTTTCTTTTTCTATTATTGTCTTTATATTTTGACAGCTTCAGCAGGCCTTTTTTTTCAGCAGTCTTACCTATATTTAGCAGCAACATTTATTTGAAGCACTATAGGTTGATGCAGGCAACTCACAGTTTTAAAGCAACTCTGTTGCTGGTGATGATCTGCACTCCTTATTGTCAATCTAGTGAGAATTGCTCCTTTTTAAAAATTTTTCCAGATCACAACAGAATCCATGCTACGGATGTGCTGCAGGCTGTGTGGTACCTCACCACTCAGCCTGTGCCAGGCCTGCCCATCCTGCCGACAGAAAACAGAATACACACTGGTGAGGACTTTATACTGATAATATTATCTAAGTTTGTTTTCTCCGCTTTTATATTTATTTTTTATAACCTGCAAGTTACATGGAAGTGTAAAAGAGCCACATCAGTTTAATTTTTCTGTTTTTAGACTCGGTGAACAGCATGATATCCGGAGCGTCAGGATTCCTTCTGTCCAAAATGAACTCGGTGCTTGAGAAGGGCTATGGTTCCCTGGCTGGTCTGGTCCCTGCCCTGGAGCTCATGGCATTGTATGTAGCTGCTGCCATGCACGACTACGACCACCCYGGAAGAACGAATGCCTTTCTGGTGGCCACGAGTGCACCACAGGTAATCAAAGGTAGTGGCTCGAAAGAGAGACTTTGTGTGATAGATCATCACAGAGGGTAACCGTGGAGAATAACGAGATCGAAGCGCAGTTTTCACAAACAAGTTCAGCCTCAGCTGGGATTTGTTCTTCCGATGAGCTAATTAAAAAACAAATTAAACTGATAAAGTTCCTCGCAACATAGTGTGATCCAAGCTGTGGAGTTGCTTTCCCATCATGAAGAGTTCTGATGCAGCCTGATAAAAGCTGGAACTGTCACAACTTCATGTTTATTTAATGTAGCAAGTAATCAGTGAATAAGTTCACAAGTTCAAATGACTCAAACACAGCAGTTTGGTTTTATGAAATGTTCATCAAAATCACAAGCTAAGTTGTGCATATGAGTGATTTAGGAGAATTTGTGACATTCACCAATGTTTTCGTATTCTAAGATTTTCTT